AAAAAAAAAAAAAAAAAAAAAAAAAAAAACATTTACAATAATAAAATGAAGAAATTTATGGGATTAAAAAATTAAACTTTACCAATCTTAGTCCTGCAATCTCGACCGGCGAACAATGAACAGTATATCGTTTGCCTCGAATGCTCAACACAGAATCTTCTTCTCCAGACGTGTCATTGTCCGATCGACAAGTGATATTTCCCACCCCACTAATAACCGTTTCTTCATCTTGGCCAAATAAGTGAAACGAGACTTGATTGCTGGATAACACGATCATACGCATGTTCGGAATACTACCCTCACTCAACACATTCCCATTGTCAGTGGCCAAATACAAGTTTCCGTTGTACAATGATATCTCGTTCGCCAAGAACTCGGTGAGGAATTTCATTGGGTAACCTATGGAAATGGCTCCTTTTCTCCCACGCATACCGACAATACTAACAAACATAGTAACCCGAGACGAGCCCCACCCAGTACCAGCCAATGAGTATCCGTTTGACCTGTTAAGTGCTTCTTGAAACCAGCTCGAGTCAACTAGACGTGATAGAGGGGACTTAGTGGCTTCTCCATATAGTTTTCCCGTGTCTCGATTTGCCGGCTGAACGTACCAAGTGTTGATATTGGTACCGTTTTGTGTGGAATTTGAGTACAATGCGTATAACCGATCTGTTTCGGAGTAGTACGCGAAGAACAAGCCATCGAGTCCGATATAGGAAATCTGGGACATGTATGGAACTGCTGATAAATATTGAAATAGTGAGGAAGCCACCTTTGACTCGATGACTGAGAACGTAAGCTTATCGACGTCCAAAGACGAGCTTAATATTCGTGCCAAGTTGATGGCCGGGGAATTAATAGGGGAAAGTAACGAAGACGCTCTTCGAATTCCGGAGATTAATTCTCGATTCGTATCGTGAGCGATCGACTTAACTTCATCTTCGATTCGTGTAACCTTTTTTATCCAAAATGGAATCAATAAACCGGCTGCAGTCAACACTACAATCATCTGCATTGCATTAGATCAGAAAGTGAATTCAGATCAAGAACACCCGTAAAATTCAACTAAAGTTCTTACAACTATGAACGAACCATTAGATCATGCTTGCATGTAAGCTTAACATGATTCATATGTATGACAAAATGTTTTAATAAAAAACCGGGAAATGCTAAGGTCCTGTTACGGAACATTCCGTCGGAGTTTGTAACCGTCGGATCATCATGTAACCATCGGAGACAGTTGATCTAACGGTTACATACCCTGACGGTAACGGACGGTAACATCTCCCTAAAAAACCATACCAGTAAAATGAGAAAACAAACGGGCCGCCACACAATACACGAGCTCGATTTCATCTTAGCCTCCAGTAGCAGAGCCTGTTGGTTCAGAGATACTGACTAATAGTTAATGTTCACATACTGACTAACCTATTATGTAATCCTTTCCATAATTAAGTATTCTTTCCCTAATTCTTGTTGGTAAGGAAATTTGTTGGATTTAATTTTCTTTTAGTTTACTTAAAAGCAGTTAGTTAAATTGTTAAGAGAGCTTAAATATGGATATTTCTTTAATAAATTCCATATAAATTCCGATTATGCAGTGATAACCAAATCATCGCCAAATAAATATACTTCCCTACATTTAATTATTATAGAAATTTTTTGAAAATTGATGATATACATATTTAAATTGTACTCCTTGAATTATTTAATTGATATATTTTATCCCACCATCCCTTCCCTTGTGTATATAATTGCAGAATGCTCGGAGCCTAAGTGACACCTTCGCATTCTTCGGAATCTTACTTGGCGAAAAAACATGTTTCATGTTCGGTTAGGATAGAAAATAATATTATTCTAAATCAATAGTTTTATGTTCTGACATTCAAAAATATAGAAAATAATATTATTCTAAATCAATAGTTTGGTTTCGGCTAGCCCTAGCGGGCTTCGGGCTAAACGGTGCGGACCTAAAAAGCCCAGATTTAAATGGGCTGCCAATAAAAGGACTCAACCCTAACCATAGCGGGCTTCGGTCTAAACGGTGTAAACGGGTTATAATAATAATAATATCTAAAAAAACATATAAATAAAAATTACAACGGCTAGTTCACGATTGTTTTCAACGGATATTTAGTATTTACCGCTCTATATATGTACAACTACACTTCATGTATGAACATTACAAACTCTTAAGTGACATGTTTTTCTCAAAAGAAAAAAAAATGTTCGAACTATTACTTATAACTATCATTTTACTACTTATTTTGTACGATTTGAAAATTATCACGATATTGTATCTTACTGCTGAATTTATATTCTATCACTATGTTCTATGTGTTAGGTCTTTGTCTCATGTGTTTTCTATTAGCCGTTCTAATTGACTTAAATAACTTAGTGTAAGTAGAATAACGAAATTGTTAATAATTATCGTTCAAAATCATAATAACCCGCTACAACTCATAGTTACATATGAAGTACAATAATAAAGTTGTAATATACAAATTAAATGGGTTAGCCCTATCGGGCTTCGGGCTAGCCTTATCGGGCTTCGGGCTAAACGCTCCGGGCCTAAAAAGCCCTGATTTAAACGGGCTACTAAAAAAAACCCTAACCCTATTTTTTTCGGGTTAAACGGGTCAGTCTGTCGAGCCAAGGACTGTTTAACATCTCTAATCAGCCATGAGTTCCATCCTTGACCTATATCATTCAACAACTCTTTTACCCATATCAAGTGTCCTCTTGCAATATCAATGAGGACTGGTTTAGGATGCACAATATTAGAGACCCAGTTAACATCTTCGATTCTGGTTTTGGCCCCATTTCTAATTTCCATTGCGTATCCTTCGGCAAAGATAGGAATCACATCCACCCAATTGGACAACAACCATAAGCTGGTTTTGATTCAACTTATAAAATTATCATGATTGACCTGGCTACGCACTAGTTGTATACGTGCATGTAGAATAATAAGGGCGTGGGTGGATATAGATATATTGGTATTTGATTTTTTTTTTTGTTAATTTGAATTAATTTTAAAAATGTTGGTTCGATTAGCTTTTAGTGGGATTTTAAGTTTGTATTAAAATAATTATTTGAAATAAAATAATTAAAATTGATTTGATATAAAAGTATGAGACAAATGATCGAAAGTGCTCGGTAGTTCAAATTATGTGAGTTGATGAATAGTGAATTAAAGTTACGTGAGTTAATATTGTGTTAAATTTTGAATTGAGATTGAATATGAGTATGGATCATGATATATCCACTCACCCCCCAGTTGTAAGAATAGATTTTTATTTGGGGTAGGGAGGGAAGTGCTTTTGAAATATATTATAAATGCTCTGCCAATATATATCATGTCGTGTTTTGTTATTCCAAAAGGAGTTTGCCAGGAAATATCAAGGCTATGTGTTGAGTCTTGGTGGAGCAAGGGGGATATGCAGTCAAAAGGAATGCATTGGAAATCCTGGAGTCATATCACTATTCCCAAACAAGGAGGACTTGACTTCCAAGACATATGTTTTTTCAATGATGCACTGATTCTCAAGCAGCTTTGGAGAATTGTCACTCAACCGAATCTCTTGGTAACTAAAATTCTCAAAGCTAGATATTTCTCTCAGTGCGCTCTTCTGCAAGCAAAAAAAAAAAAAAAAGCTATGCATCTTGGCTTTGGAGCAATTGGTTAAAAGTCAGACACAAAGCAGGCTTCAGAATCCAAATAGGCAATGGCTGGTCAACACACTACAAGAAAATAGAGTTCTAGTGAAGAATTTTTTTATCATTATGTTGTCACTATATCTACTGTCACTATATGTCACTATATCTACAACAATTGTAGTGTATAGTGACAATAATTGTAGATATAGTGACAACAATTGTAGATATACTGACAATAGATATAGTGACAACAATTGTAGATATAGTGACAAAAATTTTTTTTCACTAGAACTCTAATTTCTTGTAGTGACAAGAATTTGGCAAGACCCTTGGCTTCTAGATGCAGATTCAGGTATTCCCTCCAGAAAACTAGGTGTTGACAGTGATTTAGCTTGGGTTGGTAAACTGATTGAGGATGATGGTAGATCAAGAAAGAAGACAAGCTGGAATTATTGTTCACTGCTCAGGATAGAGACAAAATCTGAAAAATCAAACCTTTGAACAACACTAACAGAGATAAATTGATATAGTCTTTTGATCCAAAAGGTTTCTTTTCAGTTGCAAAGGTCTATGCTCATCTAATGCAGGCCAAATTGAGGAAGCTAGATGCAACTGAGTGTTGGAACCCATGAGGATCTCGATATGCACAAATCACGGACAAACATTCAACATAAACCTATGCGTAGCGGATCTAAAGGTTTGATGAAGAAAACTTACTGGTTAAAATTTATGTAGATCTGGCTGGCCCGAACAGTTGACCGCAAATCAAATCTTCTCGGAATCGAACAAACTTGACCAATCCGGAAAGCTGACGTCACGGCGAAGTCAACGGCGTTGACCAGTCGAAAATCGGAGGTCACACGCGCTCACACGCGCGCGATTGAGCTTCAGCTGCTGGAGCCTCCCGGTGGCGCGTGACGGCGCGTGCGGCGGAGTCCGGCGGCGATCTCGAC